GCAGTGCTGCAGTCGACTCAGTACCAGGGGGCACAGACGCACTAGCACCTAGGGCAGCTGCTGCAGCAGGACCTGTGGGAGCAGACACACTAGCACCTAGAGCAGCAGCTGGGCTGGCCTGAATGCCCGGGTCGGGCGGAACACGCAAGTACTGAGCACCCTCTCCACTAATAGACATTGCATACATGGCAGTGAGAATAGCATCAAAGTCTAGAGCCCAGATATCAACACCCCTCTTTTCCAGATCAGCCCAGCGCGGCAGCTCAGTGGCGTCAGGAAACTGGGTGCGCCACGCGTCGTTGAGGCGCGCGAAGCAGCGCTGCGTCTGGTGCGCCCTCCCACACGTCTGGCCAGTGCGGTCGCCTGTGCGAATAACGTACGTGCAGGTAAAACCGCGCTGCGCATACCACTCACGGGCGGCCTGAAGCGTCGGGGAAGGCTGCTGACTCTGGCCTCCGCCCGTGCCTCCACGACCACCACCTCCTCCGCCTCCGCCCCGGCCACCTCCACCCCTGCCGCTGCCACGACCACCTCCGCCTCCGCCGCCGCCTCCGCCCCTGCCACCACTCCCACCGCTGCTGTCACCTCCCCCACTACCGCCACTAGCCTCCCCAGTCGCGCCTCCACCGCCACCACCTCCACCCCCGCCTCCTCCGCCGCCACCCCCACCCCTGCCCCCCTTGCTCCTGCGGCGCCCGCCCGAAGCAGACGCAGTCCCGACCTTCTCAGCACCAAGGAGGTCGACAGCAGCAGCAGAGGCGACAGAGGGGAGGAGGGGGGAAGGGGAACACCCCTCAAAGAAGGGGCCGCGAGGGTCGCCACGAGAGGTGCCTACAGCGACGATACTGGCCTCAGCTGCAAGCAGTTCCTTCTCGAGGAGGGCTACGGTGAGCTCGGTGGGGGAGCGAGAGAGGAAGTGGTCCCTGACTGCGCGGAGAGAGTCAGGGAGGCGAGTGACGATGTGGTAGAGAGTGATCCAGAGCGGGGGGGGGTTGCTAGCGAGGAACTCGTCAGGCATGGCAGCGCGAAAGCGGGCCTCACTAGTCTTAAGGTGGGTGATGAGGTCTGCGACAGTGTGAAAGGAGGCCAGGTCGGGGAACAGGTAGGGGAGAGTGAGGCGGCCTAGCGTGGCAGAAGCGGGTGAGGAGTAGCGGGCAACGACAGCGGTGTACAGTTCCTTAGCAGTCTTGCACTGGCCGAAGTGCTCGCGCTCATCTAGCGGCAGGGAGTTGCGTATGGCGAAGCGAGCGTGCGCGTCACGGGTCTGCCACTGTGAGCGCTCAGTGGGGGGAGCAGTAGTAAGAGGGGCAGTAGCGTGGCCGAGAGCATGGTCGTACAGAGAAATATCCTCCTTGGCCGTGAGCTGTAGGAACAGGTGCAGGTCATCGAGCCAGGTTTCGAACTTCACCGGACGGCCCTCGGCGTCGAAAGCTAGAACGGGAGGGCTAGCCATAGCGATAGTAGCAGTAGCAGCAGTAGTAGACAGAGTAGGGCCGCTGTAGCTGTAAAGACGCACTAGCAGGAGTCGCAGGGGCGCACGGGATGCGGTGGTAGGCCGGCAGTAGCGGCGTGCGGTGGCGGCTGCAGGTGCGGACAGTCAGTAGCGGCGGGCCGGTAGCGGGTGCGTGCGGCGGCGGCTGCGGGTGCGTACGGGCGGCAGCGGCGGGCCGGCAGCGGGTGCGTGCGGCGGCGGCTGCGGGTGCGCACGAGCGGCAGCAGCGGGCCGGCAGCAGGCTGCTTGCGGGCCGCGCAAGCAGCGCGCGGGCCGGCAGCGGGTAGCGGGCGGTTCGCGGGCGGCGTGCAGGCCGCGCGGGCGGTTCGCGGGCGGTTCGCGGGCGGCGCGCAGGCCGCGCGGGCGGTTCGCGGGCGGTTCGCGAGCGGTTGGTTCGCGGGCGGCGCGCAGGCCGCGCGGGCGGTTCGCGGGCGGTTCGCGGGCGGTGCGCGGGCGGTTCGCTAGAGGGCCAACGGGGCCGGTAGGTGCGATCGCAATCGACGGGGCCAGCGGGGCCGGGAAAAAAAAAAAAAAGGTAACGCTCGCGAGGGCGCTACGGGGGAGACGCTAAGAACGCGCTCCGGTAAGTAGGTAGGTAGGTAGGTATCGTACGGTGGGCCCTGAGAACAGTCCTAGCGAAGGACCTGCTCTGAAACCATGTCAGAATAACTGAGCAGGAATGAATGAACTAGAACAGAGTGTGGTACAAGTAGGAAACCCTAACTTTGTGTACCCCCTAAGGTGTAACCCACTACAGCCTACACAATATAAACATACAATGTTTGACAAGAACCCCCTGTCGCGGAACACCAACAGCAGGCGGGTCAGGAGGGGACGGAGGAACGGGAGGAATCGGAGGCGCCGGGGGAGCGGGAGGGGTAGGAGGCGTAGGAGGTGTTGGAGGAATGGGAGGCGCTACTGGTTGTGACTGAGGGACGGGCGCAGGGCGCCTCTGCCATTGAGACCAGTCACTGGTGTCTTGGCGGGTTCTTTCTCTAGCAGCAGGCTGGCGGCGGAACAAGAAATGCGTGCCTGAAAGGCCCGCCATGGCCAAGGCAGGCCAAACGAACGAAAGAAACTGAACCAAACGTTGACAATGAGGGCCGTATGAAGCCCTCGCCCGAGACCCCTTCAGTTTCGCGGCCCGGCTTCCTCTGCGGGGAAAGTGTGGCCACAGCCAAGATTCCCCGCAGAGGAGCTGAGCTGGGCAGCTCTTTGCCTCGGTGGCAGGGTATCTTGCTGTTGATGGGCACGCCGTGGCTGAACCACGACGTGCCCACGATCGCATGCAACCCTGATTGGGCCGCTGTGATGCGAGGTACGTGTGCGCAGGCATGCGCTAGGTTCACGTTCGATGAACCTGGCCTGGCCAACAAGGCGTGGAAGGCGTGTTGCCACGCCTTGTTGGCCGTTTCACGCGCATAGCATGCACAGTTCCGAACGTTCTCGACTCAGGTGAATTCGCCTTTGTGAATGCTTCGATTTGGTATATTTAAAAACAAATTTCATTTTTGTCATAACATAAACGCCGGCGCTTATAAATTTACTATATTATAAGCCCACCCCCTAAAAAAAACACGTTTTATTAGTGCCCCCCATGGGGGTATATCCGGGGTATGAGTTCAAAAAGAGTTCGGTATGAGAGGCCGGTATGAGTTCAACTCACTTGCCGAGAGCAATAGATACAATATTTCAGGGTTCGCTAAAGCACTATTCTGAATGGATCAGTGTTCACAAGTCAGAAATTCTGAAATTGCAGGGACCACAAGGTGAGAAGCCCGTGATCACCCTGAAATCAGGGTAATTACCCTGATAAAATCAGCCCTGCCTCAAAGTACATGTCTATTAAGAATTGTTATTAATACCCTTGTATTCACATCTTATAATCATCTTCTATTCTTTCAAAAAGTATTAACAAGGTCATTACACGACTTCATTGTCTTCGTACAACTTAGCAAGTCTGGTCCAATCCACTACGATCCTTGGTTATATCAACAAAACGTGCCTATGTTCTTTGTGTCTCTAAAATTTTTAGGCGGAGGTTTCTCGTGTGACCATTAGCGACTTTTTATTCTTTCGAGGTAATGGTGACCGATTAAATGACACGACGTACTAGGCGCGTGAGAAAATACATTTGATTCACCGCTCACAAAGTTATTTCTTACCACTAAATGTTTTAGAATCTAGGTGGTGTACTGTTCGTACCCTCAAAATAATGAAATATACGAATTTGGCGAATCTGGGCCCGAGGTGACGCGCCCCATGCCATGTCTGGCCTCGGTTTTCCCTCGGTAGCTTCCAGTTGGCGCTTCTGGCAGTTGCTTTGTGGGACGTTCCCACACGGTTGAAAGCGGTTTGTGAGGCACCGAACGTGATTGAAAGCGCTGTGTCCCTTGAAGTGCTGCCACTTGACTTACCAAATGTTGTGCTCCGGCATACCCGACGGCCGAGCCTCCAGGCTTGCCCTTCAGGTTCCTTCCCCGAGGTTCTGACTGGAGGCTCGAATGGACCCTCCCTCTCCACCACACAAGGTGCATCTCCCATCCCATTCGTCCCACTCACTCACTCACTCGCGTTATCTGAAAAGCCTGGCCGGTTGTCACTGGCTGTTATGTCGTCACAACTGCGCTGCGTGGTAGAGTCGTGCCGGCTTCGCAACAGTTCCCCTTGCGTGCGTGGGAACGTCATGGTCTTGTTACACGTAAGCTCGTAGAACAGGTTCCATCTGACGGACACGTCATTACCGTGTGGAAGGTGTTGCATACCTTGTGGATTCCCGCTCGTAGTACGACGTTACCCCATCGATCCTCCATTCCATCTGCCCACCAGTAACGACATGTCAGATAACTACAAGCAAGGGACGCGCGGAAACAAAGCACTTTCGGCACAGCCAGTGCACTGTAAAGCGACAACATCTCCTGCACGTTCCACATGTTCACGACCAGGCTGGCGGACAGCTGGCTTTTGCCGACGACGCGAAGCGACGCGGTTCGGGCATACATCGCTTTTGGCTTTTCGCTTGTTCGGTTCGTCCCATCGCTTATGGGACGATATCACATCGCACTTTAGATCGGACGGTGAACGAAACGACAGGTCAGATGGCAGATAAGATTTTACTGGTATCGAGTGACGGATCGGACGGGCTTAGCTCCTCATGCGAGCAAGGCTCGCTACACCTCACACGAGCAGATTGTGACGGTTTCACTTATGACCAAACAATTCCCGGAGTCCTGGCGGCCGCCGCGGCACGGCGGTCCAGTAGCCCGTCCAGGTGCATCCCAGGGCGGCCAGGGGATGCTGGAGACTCCCGGGGCTCGGAGCCCCTGCCTGAGAGCCGCCGCCGTTGGCTCTGTCAAACCGCAAACCAACTTGACTCTTCCAAGTCGCAACCACCCCACCGTACGGATGCACCAGGCATGGAGATAAAGTGTCACTCCTTGCTCTCTTTCCATCGTTAACTCGAAGCCAAGAGGCTTCCCAAGCTAGTAGTACTCTCACTACTACCAAGATGGCGCCGCAACGCGCCTTGCCTCTCGCAGGAGGCGCGGCGACTCCACTGCCTGAGCGCCTTGGTGTCATGGTGCCGCTGCTGCTGCTTCTGCTCTTCACCACCGCCGCCACCACAACCACCCTGGCGGACCCGCGCCTGCCGCCCTTGCCGGAAGGCTGCCACCGCTTCGGCCTCCGCTTTTGCAGCATCTTGCGGGCCGTCTCCTCCCTCGCTGCCAGGGCCACAGGCCGTCAGCACGGCGGTGGTGGTAACCACCAGCGTGGCGAAACCGTTGGCTCGTCGCGGCCTCAGCAGGACGCTCCAAGTCGATACGCCGGTGGTGTTGAGGGCGACGAGACCAGCATTGGCGTCGGCGGTACTATGGCCGTCGCCCGTGCCGGTCCCCGCAACGGTCTCAACCGTCGCAGCAGCAGGCGTGCGGCGTTGTCGCTGGTGGTGGCGCCTCTGGCGACGTGCTCCGCGTCGACACTCTCCGGCTACACGTCGTCCGTCGCCCTCGGATCACTGTACGCACCCCACTGAACCCTCGCCTCATCCCTCGATTCTCTCCCTCTCCTCGTGCCTTGTCATCCCTCGCATCGTCCGTGCTGACCTGCTCTTCCATCCCATGCCCCCCTCCTCGCCTCATCCCTCTTCTTCCCCTCGCCTCGTGCGTGCTGACTTGCTCGCGCATGCCGTGCCATGGGCCCTCCACCCGTGCCACATGGGGGCAGCATGAAGCTGCACTGGCAGGTGACGAGCGGCTCCACCATCCAGCTGGCAGTCACGGCGTCAGGCGCCGCCATCACGGGGTGGTTCGGCATGGGCTTCGGAACAGCGCTCAAGATGTTCCCCGCGGACTGCGTGATTGGCAACCAGGCGGCCACGCCCATTCCTGTGGGCACCTACAACTCCTCCAGCTACTCCTCCGTCAAGCTCACCACCGCCTTCACCATTGGCAGCAAGGCCTATACCACCTCCGGGACCACCGCCACCATGACCTTCACGCGTACCACCGGGGATGGTGGCGCGGCGCCCGTGCTCGTCAGGGGCGTCAACAACATCATCTGGGCCTACAGCGGCTCCTCCACCACCGTCGGCAGCCACAGTACTAGGTGCATGGTGGTGCTCCTCTCGCTACCTCCCTCTCTACCTCCCTCTCTACATATCTCTGCCCCTCACTCTACCCCTCTCTCCACCCCTCCCTCTACCACCCTCTACCGCTCTCTACTCTCTCTCAACCTCTCACACTACTCTCCTCTCTTCTCTCTCTCTCTACCACCCTCTCTCTCAACCTCTCTCTACCCTCTCTATATACCTCGCTCTACCTCTCTCTACCTTGCCTCGCCTCTTTTTCCCCCCCCTCTCTCTCCTCGTCCATGGTCTTTATCTTCTCCCCTCTCCTCATGTACCCACCCCTTGCCTCGCCTGTTCTTTTCCCCACCCCCGTGTCCATCTCTCTCTCGCCAGGGGAACAGTCACAGCCGACTTCTCCTGCAATGGCAGCCACTCCACCTCCGCCCCCCCCTCTCCTCCGCCACTCCTTCCCCTCCGCCGCCCCCTAGACCCCCACCCCCACCTTCACCTCCGCCTCCGCCTTCACCTCCGCCCCCGCCCTCGCCTCCGCCTCCCCCTTCACCCCCGCCCTCCCTCTCCCCTCCTCCCTCTCCTCCTCCCTCTCCCCCTCCTCCCTCTCCTCCTCCCTCTCCGTCCGCCTCCTCCCTCTCCCCCCACTGGCGGAACTGTACCAACCACCAGCGTCTCTCCCCCTCCTCCGCTCACCACCTCCCTCCTCCTCTCAGCGCCTCCCCTCCTCCCTCTCCGCCCCCATCTCCCCCTCCTCCCTCTCCGCCCCCTCTCCCCCTCCTCCTCTCCTCCCCTCCTCCGCCCCCCTCTCCCCCTCCTCCCTCTCCGCCTCCCTCCCCCCCCTCCGCCCTCCGCTCCCTCTCTCGCCTCCCTCTCCTCCCTCCCCCCTCCTCCCTCTCCGCCCCCCTCTCCCCCTCCTCCCTCTCCGCGCCCTCCCCCCTCTCCCTCCCCCTCCCCGCCTCCTCCCCCCCTCCTCCCTCCCCGCCTCCCTCTCCCCCTCCTCCCTCTCCTCCGCCTCCCTCCTCCCTCTCCCCCCCTCCTCCCTCTCCTCCTCCCTCTCCTCCCTCTCCCCCTCCTCCCTCTCCGCCTCCCTCTCCTCCCTCCCCGCCCCCTCCCTCTCCCCCCACTGGCGGAACTGTACCAATCACCAGCGTCTCTCCCCCTCCTGTCTCCTCCCCTCCCCCTCCTGTCTCCTCCCCTCCCCCTCCTGTCTCCTCCCCTCCCCCTCCTGACTCCTCCCCTCCCCCTCCTGTCTCCTCCCCTCCCCCTCCTGTCTCCTCCCCTCCCCCTCCTGTCTCCTCCCCTCCCCCTCCTGTCTCCTCCCCTCCCCCTCTTGTCTCATCCCCTCCTCCTCCTGTCTCCTCCCCTCCTCCGCTCCCGCCTCCCCCCCTCCTCCCCCATCATCACACCCCCTCCCCCGTCTGCATACGCCTCGGGTAAAGCCTGCCCCGCATCCACCCTGCCTGGATACTCCTACCAGCTCGCCCTGCTGCCGCCCAAGTGAGTCCCTGCTGCCGCCCAAGTGAGTCCCTGCTGTTACACTTCTGCCATTGCCATTGCCAGTCCTGCTACCTACTTCCCACCTTGCTCCTCTCTGTCATCCCCACCAACATCCCAACCTACCTTGCTGCTCTATCCTCATCCCCTCATCCCTCCTCCCATCACCCTCACTCCTCCTCCAACGGTTGTAAGAAAGTGAGACAAGTCGTCTAACCTCTTCCTCCCCCACTCCCACCCCCCCTCTGCTGCCATTGCCCAGCCTCATCCTGCACTGACACCCAACCTCTTTCTCTCCCTCCCATCCTCCCCTCTCTTTCCATATTGCCCAGCCTCATCCTGCACTGGGACCCCCCGTATCTGCTAACAAGGTGGACATGGCAATCGAGGCCAAGGCAGCAGGCAAGGCCAGGGCAGGGTGGATATCCGTGGGGTGGCCTACCAAGGCAGCCATGGTGCCAGCCGATGCTGTCATTGGCAACCTGCCTGGGGGCAAGGTCGCAACATACGCTCTCAAGGGATACCGCTCCTCTAAGCTCGTTCCCTCTACGGCGTTCAAGATTGAAAACGCGTCCACCACCAGAATGGCTGATAACTCCACTATAATCAGGTCAGCTGCTGCTGCTGCTGCTGCTGCTGCTGCTGCTGCTGCTGCTGCTGCTGCTGCTTTGCTTCTGCGTCTGCTTCTGCTGCTTTTAATGGTACCTGTTTGGAATTCATCTGTGTCCTTGTCCCAACCGAGCAATCACTCCACACTACCCGCCCTCCTGTCCCTCCGCGGCAGGTTCTCGCGCATCAAGGGCACGGGCGGGGTGGCCAAGTTTGCTCCGGCGGCAGTGTCGAAGCTCATCTGGGCCTTCTCCTCCACCGGCAGCACAAGGCTCAACTTCCACGACAACAACTTGTCAGCGCGCATGCCCTGCATTTGCCCCGCTCTCTCCACTCACATGCCTCCCATATGTCCTCTGCACATGCCTTTCTTCTGCCCTTTGCACATCTTGCATGTGCGTCTGCTCATTTCCTTTCGTTTGCAATATGATGTACTCATGCCTTTCATGTGCCTTTTTTTTCCCCTCACCACCCGGGCTTACTCGTACTGCTGTTGATGCATGACGCTTGGTGCTGTGTGCAGTGGAACTGCCAAGGTGGACTTTTCCTGCCGCACGGCACCATCCAGTGAACCCAGTCCGGATATGGAGGCAGAGGACGTCTAGATTGAGGAAGAGTACCTCTAGATTCAGTACACCGGAGATGGAAGCGCACCTGTTACACCATTTCGCAATTCACCGTGAATTATTTTAGCATACCTAGTTGCATGTCTAGGTCCCTCTCTAACACATCTGTTGGTTTGGTTCCTTGCATTCCATAGCTGTCCGTCTGATCAGAGCAGTGAGGTTGTAGTGTAGCTGTATTTTTTTATGTGTCTGTTTTCTTTGCCAATAAAATGGAGGAAATACGGCAGCACCTATGCTTTGCATGTTTGGACACAATCCCCCTCTGCAGGCTATCCTGCATCCATAATACGGTACAACAAAGTCTTCCAAGTCAACCCAAACCTCATCTTGTTTGTATCCCACCGGGACAGACCATCTGCCCACACAAAACACGCCTCCCCTCCCCTCCCTTCCCCACCAGGTTCTCACACATCAAGGGCATGGGCGTGCCAGTGCATCGAATCGGCTGCCTTTCAAGATACCATACAGAAACAAAATGGAGCCCATGTCAAATGTTGTAGCCTATAGTGAGGTTTGTCTTAGGGGGTACAAAACTTAGGGTTAGCTATATGTACCCCAACCAACATCAATGCATCATCCATTCTTCATTTTGACATGGTATCAGAGCGGTTAGGATCCTGTGGGATCCCGTTCCTCCGTTCTCCGTTCGAGCCTCCCGAGCCTGATCCTAGCTCTCATTCGTCCCGGTTCCGTTGTTACCGCGCGTAGTGCCGCGCCTAGCGCCACTCCTAGCGTCGCGTCCTGCCCGCCCTTTCCCCCTCGTCGCGTCCCTTTCCCCCCGTCGCGTCGCGCCCTTTCCCCCCAGTCGAGTCGCGCCCTTTTCCCCCCGTCGCGTCGCGCTCTTTCCCCCCCCGTCGCGTCGCCCCCTTTCCCCCCGTCGCGTCGCCCTTTCCCCCCGTCACGTCGCCCTGCCCCGTCCCGTCGCCCTGCCCCGTCGCGTCGCCCTGCCCCGTCGCGTCGCCCTTCCCCGTCCCGTCGCCCTGCCCCGTCGCGTCGCCCTGCCCCGTCGCGTCACCCTTCCCCGTCCCGTCCCCGTCCCGTCGCCCTGCCCCGTCGCGTCGCCCTGCCCCGTCGCGTCGCCCTGCCCCGTCGCATCGCGCCCGCCCTTTCCCCCGTCCCGTCGACCCTACGCCCTGGCCCGTCGCCCTAGCCCGTTCTTCCGCTGCGACTAAGTCCCCCCCCAAGTCCCCCCCACCCCCCCACCTGAACCCTAATTTGCCTCTTACCTCCTGCTGTTACTCGCCTGCTCGTTCGCGTTAGTTCTCGCTATGGCGACTCCGCGAGTTCTTCGTTTCGACGCTGACGGTAGACCTCTTGACTTTTCCGTCTGGCTTCTTCGCGCTCGCCGTCTGTTAGAGAGTCAAGTCCAGGGGGGCGAGACCCTCTGGTCGCACGCTACTGGTGACCTCCCCGAGCCCCCCGAGCCTGCCGCTTTAGGTCCTGCCCCTGACGATGCTGCTACGGCTCGCTTTGCCCGTCAGCGCGCTGACAGGACGGCTTGGACGTCGCGTGACGCTGCGGCCTGCATCGCACTCAGCAGCCTCCTCCCTGAGTCAGAGGAGGTCCACTTCACTCAGGTTCGCACCGCTGCTGCGTACCTCACTGCGATTAAGGCCCGCTACTCTACTCCCGCTACTGTCTCTCTTGGCCGTCTTTTCCTCCCGTTCCTGTTTCCTGATCTCGCCTCGTTTGAGCGCTCTGCTGACTTGATCGCTCACCTCCGCTCGCTCGACGCTAGTTACCGCGCTGCTTGCACTGAGGCACAGCTTGCACTGCTTCCTCCCCCTATGGCGATTACTATCTATTTCATCGCCACTAGCCTCCCTGACCGCCTTGCCTCCGTTCGCGACGCGCTTCTGCTGAAGCACCCTAGTGAGCTCACCGTCGATGTCCTTGAGTCTACACTCAAGGACGTCGAGAGCAACCTTCGCTCGGTAGCCGCTGCCTCTGGTGCTGTGCCCCCCCCACTCTTCCACGGGTGCACAGTCCCGCAGTTACCCACCTTTACTGCCTCACTTGCCACTGCCGCTACTGACGCGACTGCAGCTGCTGTTACGACTGCGTCGCGGTCCCGCGGTAGGAGTGGCAAGAAAGGCGGTTCTGGTGGTGGTAGTGGAGGTGGAGGCGGAGGTAGTGGAGGTGGCGTTGCGCCTGGCGGCGGTGGAGGTTCAGGGCCTGGAGAGGCGCCTCGTGCAGTGACTGGTGACTCCACTGCGCCTGCTAGTGGTGGCGACGCCCGAGTTCGTCAGTCGCCTCCTGTACTTCCTGCCCCGGTTGGTGGAGCAGCGGCGTGGTACCAGGCTCAGCGTCAGCAGCAGCTTCTGCAGCACCAGCAGCCCCTCTCCTCCCAGCAGCCTCAGCAGCAGCAGCGGCAGCAGCTGGCTCCAGGGTCGGGGCTGCGTCAGACCCAGCGTGGTGCTGCTTACACTCCCTGCACCTACCAGGTTCTGACAGGCCCTCGTCGTGGCCACCCTTGTGGCCGGTTTCACCCCCCTGGTCAGTGCTTTGCTCAGCTCACTGACACGGTTCGTTTGGTCTACGGGGTTGGTGCTCCTGCCCCTGACTGGCTGCCTCTTGTTCAGCGCTACGGCTCCGCTCTGTGGGGCATGTCTGCTGAGCAGTTAGTTGATCTGATTGGTACTCCCCATGCTATGTATGCTGTTGTTGACTCTAGTGTTTCTGACTCTGCTTACTCTGGTGTTGTTAGCTTAGGTGCTAGCCTTGCTCAGTTGCCTGTTGCTAGTGTAGGTTCTTGTGTAGACTCTAGTCCAGCGGCTACCTCAGAGGACGGTTCGCTGTCGTTCACGCTGGACTCTGGAGCCTCTCACTGCTTCTTTCGTGACGCACGACACTTACGCCTCTTCACTCACGCCCTTACCTCTGCGCCTGTTTCTGTGGCGCTGGCTGATCCCACTTCGGGACCAGTCACCGCGCGTCACACTACCACCTTGCCGTGTCCGGCTGCTCCTTCTGGGTCTCTCACTGGGTTTCACGTCCCCTCGTTCTCCCGGAACTTGGTGGGCGTGCGACCCCTCGTGAGTCAGCACGTGGGTGTGTGGTTTGAGCCTTCTGGAGAGACTGCGGTGTGTGTTGACGGGGACTCTTACCAGCCCCTCGCCACTTTTGCTGCTGAGCCGGGCTCCGGTCTCTACACTCTTCACACTGGCCCGCGCGCTCAGCAGCGACTGCAGCAGCAGCAGCAGCCGCAGCAGCAGCAGCAGCAGCAGCCGCAGCAGCAGCAGCGGCAGCAGCCGCAGCCGCAGCCACAGCGGCCGCCGTCGCAGCAGCCACTCCTCCCAGTTCCTGTCCCTCCCCCTAGTCTCCTCCCTGCGTCTCACCAGGTGGTTCCGTCCCCTCAGGTTGTCGCGTCCAGTCCAGTCGCTGCGTCTTGCTCCTGTCGGTCACTTGCCCACCCCACCGTTCTGTGGCACCACCGGATGGGACACCCTTCTCTTCCACGTCTGCGTGCTATGTCTAGTCAGCGTCTGGTCTTAGGTCTCCCGCGTGTCTTGCCGTCGCTGCCGCCGTCCCTTGCACCACCGTGCGGTCCTTGCGTCGAGGGTAGGCTGCGTGCCACCCCTCACTCCTCCTCCCTTCGTCCGGCCACCGAGCCTTTTGAGACGCTGCACTTGGACGTCTGGGGCCCCTCTCCTCGCCCTGGCCCTGAGCGTGAGCGTTTCTTTTTGGTGGTCGTTGACGACTACTCCCGCTACACCACAGTGTTCCCCCTGGCGAGGAAGTCTGAGGTGACTTCTACGCTGATCAGGTGGTTGCTTACCACCCAGGACACTCGTGGTCGTCGTGTCAGCTGTCTCCACTCCGACCGCGGGGGCGAGTTTCGCTCCGGCATTCTCGCTGGATTCTGTCGCGAACAGGGCATTCGTCAGTCCTGGACGCTTCCGGAGTCCCCACAGCAGAATGGGGTTGCTGAGCGTCGCATAGGCCTGGTCATGGAGATTGCCCGCACCTCCTTGACTCACGCCCGTGCCCCCCATTTCCTGTGGCCATACGCAGTCAGGTACGCCGCGCACCAGCTGAACCTCTGGCCACGCGTCTCTCGGCCGGAGGCTTCACCGACCAGTCTTTGGACAGGGTCCCCTGGTGTCGCGTCGAGGTTTCGTGTCTGGGGGTGCTTGGCTCTTGTCCGCGACACCTCCGCGGACAAGCTCTCGCCTCGCGCCGTTCCTTGTGTCTTCCTTGGTTTCCCTGAGGACTCCTCTGACTTCACCTTTTACCACCCTCCCTCTCACCGGTTCTTTGACTCCCGTGACGTCCGTTTCGAGGAGTCCACCCCCGTACTACGTCAGGTACCCAGTCGAGGTCTCCCCGGTTCCCTCCTCCTCCCCCCCTCTTCCTGACAGCCGCTCCCCCGCCTGCTCCCCCGGTACAGCCTCCCCCCCCTGGTCCAGCCCCGTCTGGTGTGTCTCAGGCTAGCCCTCCCCCTTCGGTAGCCCCCCCTGTACAGCCTCCCTCCCCACAGTCTTCCTCGCCGCCTCCTGCAGGTGCTCCCTCTCGGGAGGTTGGTCCTGCGACTGTCCCTGTACAGGTCTCTGGTTCTGGGGGTGCTGGAGTTGGAGCTGAGCCGCGGGTTGCAGAGGACTCTTGTCTTCCGGGGGCTGGTACTGGTCGTGCGGAGTCTGGGGGTGCTGGTGCGGAGTCTGGGGGTGCTGCGTCTGGGGGTGAGGGTGTTCCTTCGGTTTCTGGAGAGCCTGGGTCTGGAGCTGGTGTTGGTGCTGCCTCTGGGGGTGGTGTGCTTGGTGCTTCGGAGGTCGACTCTGGGGCTGCCGCTGCCCCGGACACTACTCCTTCCCCCCACCCCTACCCGACCAGGTTCCAGGCTCGTGTTCGCCGTGCTCGTGAGGAGCAGCTGGAGTTGGAGAGAGAGGAGAGAGAGTTGCAGCGGCTCGAGGAGCAGGAGCGACAGCAGCAGGGGCAGCAGCCGCTGGAGCAGCAGCAGCCGCAGCAGCCGCAGCAGCAGC